ACTGAGCAGCCGCAGCTCTACCGTGGATGAACAACGTCCGGACTTCAGATCAGCAAGAATGGTAGATGAGTTAGCCATAATAATAAGAAAACAATTACAAACGTAGTACGATTGGTGAAAATCACAGAAGTCTAGAAGCCTATTGGTGGATATGTAACGGTGAGAAGATGGATGCTTGAGTTTTCTGGGATAGAATATCAACGGTTGAATGTGAGAAGAGGAAGAAGAACCATGATTTGCCCTTGATTTGTGTTGGGCTTCCTAAAAGCCCATCCTCAAAATGAAACCAAAATACCAACGCACAGCAAACCTCACTCAAAATCAAAGACCCTTTGAGAATTTTTATGAATCCACGTGGCAATTTTTGCCCTCTCCTTTTTGATGATGTGACCTCTTAAGAAGGGAGAGAAGCCAACTTTATTATATAAGATTTTTCATGCCAATCGCCCTATTTTTAATCCTCCAAATTATAAGATATTGCTGTTTTTAAGCCAAACTTTTATTGGTTTTATCATCATTTTAAACAAGAAAACATTACAAGCTCTTTCCAAGCACATGGTCGACTAAAATTTTGAGCCCGGCCTGCTTTGGTCACTAACATGTGTTCGAATAATTTTGAGTCTGTCCCGCCAGCTTTCATCGTTAAAAAGAACATCTACACAATATACCTAAGATCACTTTCCCTACCATTCTGTATCACACTCTTTCCGTGATTGACATCTTATCACTGGTTTCTTAAGAAATGAATTCTACAAAAAGAAAGAATTCTACAACACTTAACTGGTAAGAGGTTTTACTATCAGATACGAACAATTGTTCCAAACAAATTAAAGATGTATTTTAAAACTTCTGTCTTAAAACATACTAGATTTCGACCCGCGCTTAAAAGCGCGGAAATTTTTTATGATTAAAAATTTAGATAATTGTGGTTTTGTCTTAATTTAAAGAATGTTTTGGTATAAAATCAGTTCAGCAAAATTTTTGGTGATGATTGTTTTTTATTAGTTTTTAGTTTCAATTTTTATTTTTAGATTTTGTTTTAGATTTTGTTTTTTTTGGGTTTTAATTTTTAAGTTTCTATTTTTGGTTTGAGTTTTTAATTTTTAGATCTGCTGAGTTAGTTTGAACTGATATTACCAACAAACAAATCTCAATTAATCGAACATGTAATTTAAAACTGAAAAGATGACAAAATAGTTTTCTAAAATTTTTGAAATAGTTTATTTTGTAATAAAAAAAGAAAAAAATATAATTCAAGCGCATAAATTTTTTATGATTAAAAATTTATGTAATTGGGTTTTATCTTAATTTAAAGAATGTTTTCGGATAAAATCAGTTCACCAAAATTTGTGGTGATAGTTGTTTTTCATTAATTTTTAGTTTCAGTTTTTATTTTTAGATTTTGTTTTAAATTTTGGTTTTTGGTTTTTAGTTTTTAAGTTTCTATTTTTTATTTTCAGCTTTTGGTTTGGGTTTTTATTTTTTAGACCTGCTAAGTTAGTTTGAAATGATATTACCAACAAAAAAATCTCAATTAATCGAACATGTAATTTAAAACTGAAAAGATGACAAAATAATTTTCTAAAATTTTTGAAATAGTTTATTTTGTAATAAAAAAGCAAAAAATATAACATGCGTTTTCAACTTTTGGTTTTGGATTTTAGTTTTTAGATTTGGTTTTTGATTTTGCTTTACATTCTTTTTAAATCTGTAAATTATTTAAGAAAAATAAAACAATAAATTATTTAAAAGTTACCATTAAAATTTATCAAGATAGAGTGATTGTTATTTAAAAAAAAAATATGAACATTTTTTAAAGTATATGATTTTAAGTAAGTGATTAATAATAGATAATTTTGTTTTCTTGAAAATATTAAATATTTTTGGGCTTGAAAATAGTAATTGCTTTTTGATCCATTAAGGTGGAAAGTTTATTTAATGTTTTTTTGGAGTTTTTCTTTAATACTAAGCCGAAAACCAAACAATTAAATGTCATAAAAACAAAAGTAAGCCCAAAACTCTATTCCATAAATAACCGCCGGTTTAATTTAATTAATGCGGTTCAATCAATTATATAACTTGTATTATTTGTAACACTGTAGAAATAGCCCAGATTTAAATGACAACTTGTATCAGTAGATAAAAAGAATGACTCTATTTTAATAGAATAGATGATTAACGTTGAGATGGGTTTGCAGGGTTTCATAGGAAAATCTTTTTAATTTTATTTTAATAGAATAGATGATTAACGTTGCGAATTAATCATGGAACGCCAAGTATCAGTGTAACCCGCGAACAATACAAGAAACAAGTAAATGTCGATCTTTACATCACAACCTTAAAGACCCGTTTTTAAAAAAATAGTGGATCCACCTAATATCTTATTAGTTTTTGTTAAGGACCCTATTGCTAAGACCCCACGTTAATGATAGTCTTAGATAAATATTAGGGGTGGGCGCGGATCAGATATCCGGATTTTTCAAAGTATTTTTGATTTGCTTCGAATGTTACGGATATCTAATTTTGATATTTGCTTTGCTTCGGAAAAATACGGATATCCAGAAAATAAATAAATATTTGATGATATTTACGAATATTTACGGATATCTAATCCATTTTGATTAATAAAAATAATCTTAAAATTTTGATATAAATTTGCTTTGCAAAAATATTTTTTTGCATGATATATAAAACAAAAATTAAAAGAACTAGTGAATTTACATATTTTGTAATTTTTGAAGTTTCAGTTGCAATTGTAATAACACAAAATTTAAGAAAACAAAAAAATAATTGTCATAATTTTTTTTTTTTTATGTAATACATTTATATAAGTAATAATGTGAATAGAATTGTTCAAAATCATGTGTTTGAATAATAATTATATAATTTTAGACATTTAACATTTTAAATATAATCAATATATACATATATTTATATATTTCCGGATCGGATCGGATATCTGCTTCCCAAAATTTTAATATTTGTGATTTGCTTCGATTTTAACAGATATTGATTTTTAATATTTGATTTGAAAGTTTACGATATCCGGAATTTTCGAATCGAATCGAAACGAATAACGAATCAGATCAAATCAAATTTAATGGGTAAAATATCCCGCCCTAATAAATATGATATTCAATTTGTTCGAAAAGCCATCCAGTTTCACTCTTTTTGAAATGCACATGGAATAGTGCTTCCGCATCTTTCACGTATATACGACTAATACGAGCACCTCAACTAACGCTACACTGTCGAATACTAATTCACTAGGATAAGATCCGCGGCTTGCGCGGGATGAAGCTATTATTTTTATTATGTTTTTAAAAATGAAACAATAGTTCGGTTTCATTCGGATTAGAGGTGTTTAATCCGGATATCGGGTTTCGGTTCGGCTCGATTTTTTGGTATTTCGATCATTAAAATATAACTACTACTCTAAATCCATAATTACTTCAGTTTGATTTGGTTTATATACCATCGGTTTTCAGTTTATTCAATTTTATACCAAAAAACATAATTATTTAGTTTGAGATCATATTATATATTATACAAATATATAATATGATCATATTTAGAGTCATATTGTCACAGAGTCATTTATTAAAAAATATTATATATTTAAATAAAAGAATAAAAAACAAAAAAGACTTCTATCATCTAATAAAATGATCAAATCTAGAATTAATATCAAAACACTAAATTTTGAAAAAAAAAACAGAAGCATGAAAGAAATTTTTTTATATTCTTCCATATTTAGTGTTCATCAAACCAATACGTCTTCGATTGAACACAACTCTGTTTGTTTAAAGATAAAAAAAAAGTTGTAAAGAATTTCAACTAATTGTTGTTCATCAAATTTTTAATCTTTACTTCAATTTAGTTACTGTTAAAAAAGCAAAAAATCAAAATAAGAAGTCTTAGTTGTAATAAATTGTTAGCTATTTACAAATTATAATTATAGTTCAACTCGTGTAACAAATAGATATTCATGCGTCGTTATAAATATATACATATTTACATGTTTGAGTTTAATCGATTATAAATCAAACCATATCCAAATCCACAAACCACACGATTTGAATACTAATTCATTACATTTCTATGAGCCTTTCAGTCGGTAGTACACAAAACACACGTTTTTATGTATTCGTAGCCATGAAAAGACACAGAAGTCGGTAGAATTTATGAATTAGCACATGTAAACATCAAGTGGTTTGTTGTCGGATTTATGGTTACATACAGATATTTTAGGGGCTCTTAAATTTTAGGGACCATATCTAAATAGTTTCAGATTCTTATTGGGCTCTTTAAATTGTGAGACCATAAACAATTGGACCATTGTTTACGTACATTTCTTACCTGTTATATACAGCAATCGAGTTCCTGTATGAATTACTTGTTCATAAGGAAAATCTTCATAACGTTCATTTTGTTCCTTGTCCTCCAAGGTTTCATACATCACAAGAAGAAAAGAAAAAATTGTGACCCACAATGGCGATAAACATAGGTTTGATTGAAATCTTCATAACGTTCATTTTGTTCCTTGTCCTCCAAGGTTTCTTACATCACAAGAAGACTCCGAAGTATTTGCCCACAAACTGGCCGGTTCTTGGGATGCTTCCGGGTCTGCTCGTTCATATCAATCGTATTTATGACGCGATCACCGAGCTTCTTCAGGCCTCCAATATGACGTTTTGTTTCAAAGGGCCATGGCTTAGTGGAACTGACATACTGATCACTGTGGATCCAGCGAATATCCGTTACATTCTAAGTTCAAATTTCGATAATTACCCCAAAGGGATGGAGTTTAAGCAGATCTTTGAAGTGTTGGGNTTCATATCAATCGTATTTATGACGCGATCACCGAGCTTCTTCAGGCCTCCAATATGACGTTTTGTTTCAAAGGGCCATGGCTTAGTGGAACTGACATACTGATCACTGTGGATCCAGCGAATATCCGTTACATTCTAAGTTCAAATTTCGATAATTACCCCAAAGGGATGGAGTTTAAGCAGATCTTTGAAGTGTTGGGAGATTCGATTTTCAACGTTGACTCGGAGTTGTGGGTGGATATGAGGAACTCGTCTCATGCCATTTTTAGCCATCAAGATTTCCAAAGGTTTTGGGTGGATACAAGCGTAAGCAAATTGAATCAAGGGCTTGTACCTATTCTTGAAAACGCTGTTGAGAAAAGCATCCTCGTCGACTTGCAAGATCTGTTCCACAGATTCTTGTTTGATACATCTTCCATTTTGATAACCGGGTATGATCCAAGATGTCTCTCCATCGAACTGCCCAAGGTTAATTTCAGTGACGCTGTGGACGGTGTTGCCGATGGCCTTTTCTACAGACATGCCAAGCCGGTTCTATTTTGGAAGCTCCAATATTGGATTGGAATTGGAGTAGAAAAGAGCATGAGAAGAGGTATCGCGGTGTTCGATGAGATGCTCGAGAAGATCATATCGGCTAAACGAGAGGAGATAAAAATTCATGGGATTCGTGACTCAGAAGGAAAGGCCATGGACGTTTTAACGTATTACATGACTATAGACACGACCAAGTATAAACACTTGAGACCAAGTAACGATAAATTCATCAGAGACACTATTTTGGGGGTTTTGATAGCGGCAAAAGACACAACAAGCTCAGCTCTTACTTGGTTTTTCTGGCTTCTCACCAAGAACCCTGAAACAATTATCAAGATTCGACAAGAGATTAACAACAAGATGCCAAATTTTGATCCAGAAGATTTAGACAAGCTCGTGTATCTAGAAGGTGCCGTGTGTGAGACGCTAAGGCTATACCCATCAGTCCCATTTAACCATAAGTCACCGGCAAAGCCAGACGTGCTTCCAACTGGGCATAAAGTCGATGACAATTGGAAGATAGTCATATCTATATATGCATTGGGAAGGATGAAATCTGTTTGGGGAGATGATGCAGAAGATTTCAGACCAGAGAGATGGCTTTCAGACAGCGGAATGTTGAGACATGAACCTTCATATAAGTTCTTGGCGTTTAGCGCTGGCCCTAGAAGTTGCTTGGGGAAAAAGTTAACGTTCTTGCAGATAAAGACAGTGGCTGTGAAAATCATACAACAATATGACATTAAGGTCGTTGAAGGGCAAAAAACTGAACCAGTTCCTTCTGTTCTTCTTCGCATGCAACATGGTGTCAAAGTTAGTGTCACTAAGATATAAAGATAATTTTTTGTTATGATTAAATAATATAATGATATATACTATAGAAAAAAAAAANGTTCTTGCAGATAAAGACAGTGGCTGTGAAAATCATACAACAATATGACATTAAGGTCGTTGAAGGGCAAAAAACTGAACCAGTTCCTTCTGTTCTTCTTCGCATGCAACATGGTGTCAAAGTTAGTGTCACTAAGATATAAAGATAATTTTTTGTTATGATTAAATAATATAATGATATATACTATAGAAAAAAAAAAAGTAAGTGTTTTTAAAGTTTCAATAATAAAATATGTACGTATATACATGTTTTGATTAATTTGCATACACGACCCGTAGGGTTGTGCCAGCTCGTCTTTGCTTTCAAACACCTAGCATTTTATAATAACCCTCATCGATCGTTCAGTTTATGTATATGCATTTATGTATTTTGAGATGATAATAGTAACTGTCACGTAATTGTAACAAAAATATATCAGTCAACAAAAATGTTTAGAGCTAATTATTGTAAACTGGGAGAACACGTTTTTCCGTAACACTAAGAAATGATTAAACTCGTCTACCAAACCAATAGGAGATCCCATCATCAGACATCAGGTATATGGTCCCCAGCGTTTCGTGGCAATGAGTTTGGTTTGAACTGAATTGTCTATACAGTCGGTAATGTCCCTACCAATTTAAAACTTTGAAGGTCAATGAAACTATATTTTACCTTTCTTACATCGATGCATATTTCTAATAGATTTTAAAAAGTATTAACAATATTAAATATAATAATAAATTTTCATATTTTTAATCTAGTTACATTTATGAAAATTATGAAAGATGATATAAAACATGTTGAGTTTGTTCTAAAGAAAATATACGCATAAGATATTTATTAGTTAGCTATCTCATAACCAAACACCTGATTTAATGAAGAAAAAATTATTAAAATGATACTTCATTTCGAAGTTCACCAAAAGTCCAGCTCGCAAAAAATTGAATGCTAGCCAAATTATAAAATTCCTTCGATTCACAACTCAATGAATTTTTTTTAGTTAGGCAACATACACCGTTGGGATTCTTGAGTATTTGAGCTTCATCAGTTACAGCATACTGCTACGGCATCTGAGAATGGAAGTCTGGATCCACTAATGCTATATCATACGTCGTTAACAACACATCAAATGGTAACAAAGATTCCTGAAACAAAAGAAAAACATAATAATATACTCACATAGCTGTTAAACCCCAAGTTTTGGAGAAAGTCAAAAAATTTTACTCTCACTTTAGAGCTCTTGTTGACATAATCATGCTTTACCTTAGGAAATTACAACAGCAATCCTTATCACCAACATACCTAAGAATTTCAAGTTTTGGAGAGAACCTTTATCCCTCACACCCAACCATCCGTTAAGCTCAAAGGACAAAGCACAACTGCCAAAATCAAGACACAACATTAAACAACACAGCATCAGAACTTGTCTTTAAGAAGCAGATCTCATTACTCACGAAAATGGCCACGCAATCCTTGATGAAACTTCAGATAAATCAAGAAAGAAATTGCTTGTAGAGTCTTCACCAACCCATCAGCTCAATTTGTAGATTATTCTCAACCTAGATACAATCACAAAGCGAGAATTTAAAAAAAAACCATGGCCGAATTTCCTTGCCGCCACCGGGAGAGGTCCTCTTCCTCTCTGTTGGTTTCTCTTCTTGATTATCTCTCTTTAAATATGTTTTTCTGATTTTTCGCTGGAAATATTTTTCTCTTTTATTGGGTCTTCATCGTTTGTGGTAAACGTTTGCCTCTCCAGAGATATGTGTGGCTGTCGGCGTCACTCTCGGATCAAGGATCTTTCTCCTCTGACCCATCTTGTGACTACAACCAAGGGGTAGATCCGCTCTTGATATCTTCGGTTGTGCTTATTATATACTTTGCAGATGAGACTCCCGTGTCAGATCGACGGTTGATAAGGGTTTTTAATCCCTTTGGGCAAATCAATTGTACTAGTTAAGATTGTCGAACCACATGGAACTAGTGATCTAAACACTAAGAATACACAAACCTTCCTAAGCTAAGCAAATAAGAGAGATGATTTGATTTCTAACTAGCTAAGTTCCTAGAAATATAAACAAGGTGATCTCAAATTCAATCAAGAAACACACACAAGAACTACTTTTAAATCAATAAGAATAACAAGGATTCATGGATTATGCATTTGACTTCTTGTGATTATCCAATCTAGGGTGAGGTTTAAAGCAATCTATCAAGTCCTATAGGTCTAGACACAATCCTAAACTAGTCCTTTTTCAAGGTAAAAGCTCATTTGCTATAAATCTCTAAACATCTAGTGTTCTTGCTCTAAATCAATCAAGCAAGCACTGAGAACAAGTCTAATGACCATCTAAGCATCCCTAGCATCAAGCGTCCTTGGCTAAGCAAGCAAAAAGCATAAATACTTTCATTCAGGCATTTCATCATACATCTTGTGGGCAGAAAATGCCTAATGATCTAGATAGGAAGGATTAATCCTAATCTAGCATACAGATCAAGTAAATAACATAGAATGCTAAATCTATGCAAATATGCATGATATCAAATCTATGCAAATATGCATGATATCAACGGTATGTTCCCTTTTTTCTGGGTGTCTGTAGTGAGGCTATCCTGATCTCCATTTGTTTCTGTTGGTGGTGGTTTGTCTGTGGTGGAAGGCTGTGTTGCATATTTGGTTTAGCGGTGGAGCTTGTCAAGTTCTGGTTTCGGTTTTGTCCATCTTTTGTTGGTTGCGGTACGTTTCTGATTGTGGTGTAGTTGGATAAACTCTTGTGGTAGGATTGCACTTGTGGCGTCGCTGAGGAGCTTGTGACTTTGTTCGGGATGAGTGATTTACTTGGTTTTGGTGCAATGGTCCTCTTTTCATCATTACACACAAAAACCAAGCAAAAGAGAATCAGATTCATTAACTGAGTTTGATTAAAATCCATCGAGACAACAAAAGACATCATCAAACAACTGTTCCTCCTAAAACCATAAATAAAAGATTTCACTGCTAACTTCCCCCAAAAGATTCAAACTTTACACTAATTTCGGAAAACCCAGACTAATTAAAAAAAGGGAGGGTTGAGATTATTCACCTTGAAGATCTCAAGGACGATGTGATCATGGAGATGCACGAGATCGTTGATGCGAGAGAGGACCAAGTCGGCGACGTTGACAGTGAGGACCAACTAGAGATGTCTACCTTCCATTAATATATATGTATTATATTAAACATTTACATAATTAAAAAACACACGCATCATATAAATACTTTAAATAAATGTTATAACAAAATTTAAGAAAAAATAAGAAGACAATGAAATTTTTTTTTATTATAAAAGTTATAAACTAAATAAAGTAAAAAAAATTTTTATATAAGAATATTAAATATATTATTAATTTCTGCTAAAATCATTTATTGGTTAAAAAGGAAGAGAATGAGTGAACCACCATTAAATGCTAGTAGACAAAACTGCATGCCGGAGATCTGTCTTTTTTCAGAAAAAGACAAAAAAAATCTAATATGCAAGCATGTCTCCTGCAAAATAAATTTAAAAACTAAAAAATGGTGAATGGGAATTTAAATGAAATTTTCCTGCAACACATATGATCTGCTTCTCTCATGCCCTCCCATTCATAACCTTAGAATATTTAGGAGAATGTCGGTGGAGAACTGGAGATATTTTGTATTATTTATATCGGAGTAATGATAAGAAAATTCGTTAGGAATGTGGTAATTTGAAATTACCTGTTTCTATTTGGGTAGTTACTAATTTTACTTTAGGCTAATTTTTGTTAACTTACATGTTTTATAGAAGAGTCAGTATTTGTGGGATTTGAGGCTCAATAATTGTTTCTTTGAAAAGCTATTAGAAGGACATGAATGTGTATATGTTTTGTATAGACACATGAAATGTCTCTCTGCTTGTCTCTGAACATTAATGTTCTAAGCTGCTATATAATTAAAATAGTTTGTTGTATGCGTTAGTATTGGGATAAGGCTAACGTATATTCTCAGTCCGAGAATATTTGGAAAGATCTGTATATTTTGGTTGTGAATGTATCTTTAGAGATAGAGTCGTATCTTGTAAGTTAAGATTGCCTTCTTGTATATAAGGCGTGTAAGAGTCTCATTGTAAACTCATCTGGTTAAATACAAAGCATTCTCAGATCTTTTATGGTATCAGAGCTTTAGGTATGACAACACCTGAAGGAAAACAAATCGAAGGCAAGATGGAGGGAGCGGTCAGCAAAACCGTGACGTCTCCATACGCTTTAGCAACAAGAGATGATCCAGAAAACGTCATCACCAAAGTTGTTTTCAATGGAAGAAACTATGATGAATGGGCGAGAAAGTTGAAAACGGGACTTCGAGCTAAGAAGAAGCTGGGTATCGTGGATGGTACAGTGAAGGCTCCGGAAGAAGGCTCAGAGGAAGAAGAAGATTGGTTGATTGTGAACGCAATGGTTACATCTTGGATCTTTAATACTATTGATCCAAAGCTCAGGTCAAGCATCACACATCGTGAGATAGCTAAAGACTTGTGGGACAACATCAAGGCGCGTTTCAGTGCAAAGAGTGAAGTGAAGGTTCAACAATTGAAAGAATAATTGATGAAATGTAAACAGAGAGATGTGACACTGGAGACATACTACGGGAAACTGCAAGTGATTTGGGAAGATCTTTCCAACTATGAGTGCAAACCTGTCTGTAGCTGCGGAGGCTGCAAGTGTCAAGGTTGTACATGTGACTTTGTACATCAGTTGGAGATGGCACGAGAACGAGAGAAGCTTCACCAATTCTGTCTTGGTTTGGATGCAACATTGTATGGGAACGTTCGTACCGCTATTGTGAACACGGATCCTCTTCCTAGTGTGGATCACGCATATGCCATGGTAGCAAGAGAAGAACAGATGCGTTCCTCTGATAGAGATCGTGTGAAGGAAACAAGAG